AACTTTGTGCTTGTTGGGAATGCTGGTTTTTGATGGGAAAAAAAAAAAAATAAAGCAATAGCGAGACTTGACTTAGAAGCTGTCAAATTGTGCCACTCGGAGGTTTCTGCCCCAAAATGTTATTTGAAAGCATGCAGAGGAAAGGAAAGAGTCGCCTCGTTAATGTCATGCCTAATAAGTGGTGTTTTCCACTCGTAGATAAAATAATTTAAAATTAATTGGCTGCTCCTCATTACTGCTCCTCAAAGTACGCGACCTGTATCGATGATCTGGTTGTTTTAGTGGCTTTGGCACGAGGAAATGATTTAATTGGGTTTTAATTAACCTGCGGAACTCACTGCTGGAGTAATCTGGAGCCAGAAGGTTTGGAGTTGGGGAAGAAATGGAAGGCTTTTCCAGGTTTGAGTGTGCACAATTAAATAATTAAACTTGAGGAACAAGTTTGCGGTTTCCGTGTGTGTCCCCCCCGGCCGCGGCGGCGCTGTAGGAAGCTCTGAAAACGTCCCTCAGTGAAGTTTGGGGTCAGATGGTGGTTTTTGCCGAATTTAAAGCATGTTCAGAGGAAGGGAAACTGTCACGTACTTTTTTTTTTTTGTCTTAAATAGGTGGGTGTCACAAAACTGTAGTCTAAATTTAAACCAAACGCCCCACCGGCAGATTTTTAACAGTCCCCGAGCTGCGGTTTAGCCGGAGCGCGTGGCTTTTTTTTTTGGTGCTCAAAGTGACCGGTGACTTGCTGTCCTGTTCGAAGGTGACGGAGTTGGTGCTCGATAACTGCCGGTCCAGCAACGGCGAAATCGAAGGGCTGAATGATTCCTTCAAAGAACTAGAGTTTCTTAGCATGGCCAACGTAGAGCTGACGTCGCTGGCCAAGCTCCCCACGTTGAGTAAGCTCCGGAAGGTACGTATCGTTCCAGCGCTTCGAGAAGGAAAAGTCACGGGTGACAACCCATGGTGGCACCGTTGAACTCGCGTGGTGCCCACGGTGCTTTGTGAGATGGCAGACCTGGGAAACGACGCCACGTCCCATCTCCGGGATGTTGTGGTTTTTTTTTTTTTCAAAATCTGAAATGGTTTTTGGGTGTTTCCAGTTAATTATGGCCAAACGGGGCCTGGCTGGTGACTCTTGGGACAGTAACTGTTGGTCTGTTGACAACGTGAAGGTTGGCCGTGTCTTGCTGAGTGCCAACGGTTGATGCGAGGCCGTTGGGTTGCCCACGCGTCGCTGGCAGGGTAAAGGCTTGCCGTGAATTCCAGCCTTACGTGTTCTGCTAACTTAAAAATTGAGGTATCTGAGCCCACAAGATTTTAAGGAGTAGTTTATGATTCTCAAAGTAGACGTGAAGGAACTTTTTGCCAGCTCGTGTGCTTGTTGGTTTGTGGGACTCTTCAAAAAAATGTTTGGCTTTGTCATTAAACTGTTAAAGGGAGAACGATTAAAAACCATCTGGGTCTGAATCTGATGGTAAAAATCTAACTATTTACTTAATTTTTTTTTTTTTTTTGGTATAATAGTTGGAATTGAGTGACAACATCATCTCAGGAGGCCTGGAGGTCCTTGCAGAAAGGTGTCCAAATCTCACATATCTAAATCTAAGCGGGAACAAAATCAAAGATCTTGGCACTGTGGAAGCTCTTGTAAGTACAAAGCGAGAGGGGCTAATTGCAGATTTAAATCTAATAAATACTGCTTTTTTAATCAAGATTAAACTAATTTAGTTTAATATAAATAAGAATAAGAGATTTTTTTAAGCTTCTGGTTTGTCTTTGAAAGAAAAGTAGCCAAGTTACACGTTGCTGATCTTCTGTGCTCATTTCTTAAGGTGTAGTTTGTCTAATAAGCAACTTTATTACACTCTAATTAACTGTGAAGCGATTAGGACGCGCGTACGAGTAGGAGCAAACCTGGAAAGCACCAGTTGTAGGGCGTTTAAACGTGGGAAGAAGCTGCCAGCACCTATCACTACCTGATCTGTGCACCTGCTTTTCCACCTGATGATGATGATGATGATGATTTTTTTAGGGCTTTGATATAAACTGCTGGAATTGTTAAGTTTTGCCCATGGGTCCGTGTTCCGCAGGCTGCGCGCGGTGGTCGGCCACTTCAGGGATGTGTCGGGTGCGCCGCGGGCGCGCGGTGGAGTTGGTCCACAAAATTCAGAGAACTGCAGACAACTTTTTGAACTGGAGTTTCTATTTAACGGGGAGCAAAACACTGGATGGAAAAGGAGGGATAGGGATAAAATAAATTCTGTTCCTGGCTGTGTGGTTCACTGTAACTTGAAGTGTCACGTAGTCGTATCAAGAAGGCGGCGGGAAAAACCCTTTTTGTTTATTTTCAGCAAAACCTTAAAAACTTGAAGAGCCTTGACCTGTTCAACTGTGAGATTACAAACCTCGAGGACTACAGAGACAGCATTTTTGAGCTGCTTCAGCAAATCACGTACCTGGATGGATTTGATCAGGAAGATAACGAGGCACCGGACTCGGAAGATGATGATGATGAGGGTAACTTTTCTGAAATAAGACCATGGATAGAAATTGGGTGCTGTGACAAAGATGTAGCATGGGGCATAGTGACTTCTCGAGTGCACGAGCACCGTTCTGGGCTCCTGGTTTTGAAGTGCAAACTTCCAGAACTCAGTTGGTGTCAACACGCTGCGAGACAGAAGGAAAACTCCTGTTAGAGGTTCGGAGCGTTCTCGCAGAAGCCTTCTGAGTTTAAGGAAATTTGACTAAAGATATAAATATTCTTAAAATAAGTTGTTGCCGGTAGCGCAGCGCTTCGGCACGACTGAACGATACAAAGCGAGGGGACAGACATATTATTTTGTAAGAAAAGTGGTAACTTTACTGTTTTTTGTAATGGCTTCAGTCCCATGCTGGAGCATGATACCGTTTTTTGTTCAAAAAAATGGATGTAGTTCCTTTTGATCTGACCTCAGTCATTAGCAAAGCTATTCCTACATCTTTTTCCATTGTTACCCGATCGAAAACAAAACCCGTAGGTGCAGGTCTGTCAGCATATGGCTACGAATTCTACAAGTGCTTCAAATGTAGTTGGCTTCACAGATGACTGATACAGTCAAAGCCATTAAGAAAAAAAACCATCCAAGATGTGTTTGAGCGCTGTTAGCAAATCCGATGGGCTGTTGTTGTGATCCGACGTCTTATCCATGGCTGCGTTGTAAATAGAAAAATAAAATAAAAAAATAAAATAAAATAAAAAAATAGAACTCAATGGAAGCCAACTAGTTGGTACTTGGAATGTGAAAATAAAGTAGTATTTCAAAATAGATTAATAGGTTATTAACTTGGAAAGGAATTTAAGTGTTAAATGGGATTAGGGATGGTTGGACTCGATGATCTCTAAGGTCTTTTCCAACCTAGAAATCTATGAATCTATGAATCTAAATCACCTTGTAAGTGGCTTCAGTGAAACTGCAGAAGTGGTGATGTGCTCCAGACATGGACATGGAATGAGGGATCATCTCCGGGACTGCAGGTGTTTCGTGGTTACTAGTAACGATTAAAAAACAGATACGTGCTGTATGTTAAGCTGGTTTTGCCTTTAAATATTTCAGTATTTGGTTCTCCAGAGAAGCCTCTCTTCCCCTCCCGCTGACTAGATTTTCCGCTCCCGTGCCGGAGTTTGCATACGGAGCTGCTTCGGGCATCCAGGATTTTGCCTGAAACTTGTGATGTAAAAACATCGGTAGCCTTTCTTCAGGGAAAAAAATTAGAAAGATTAACTTCATTAAAATCCTACTTGTTTCCCACGTGTTGCCTGTATTTAAAAAAAAACTCCCAAAACCCTTCTGGAAAAAACCATCACAACTGGCTTGACCTGGTGTGTACAAACTTGCATAACGAGGAGTTAACGAAACTTAACTTTTAGCATATAAGTGTATCCTGTATTTCAGAAGGAGATGAAGATGAAGATGATGAAGATGAGGATGAAGCTGGTCCTCCAGGAGAATATGAAGAGGAAGACGATGAAGATGATGGAGGTTCAGATTTGGGGGAAGGTGAAGACGAGGAGGAAGTTGGTCTCTCATACCTGATGAAAGAAGAGATTCAGGTAAAGTTTGTAAATTCTCCCAAATCCAAGAAATGACGACAAACTCCCTGCAGGTTTCTGTGTTTAATTTAAACGTTTAGACACGGAGCATTGCAAATGCAGAGGAGATGGTTTGGAGAGGACGCCGCTGTCTCTGAAATACAAAGCGTTGACTTGAACTTGAGTGTTGGCCGTCAGCTCCCAAGATGGTCCTGGCTGACTTCCAAGACTCGGTTCGCTTTTATCCCGCCCCGTAACGCTGGTGGACGGAGCCGTTCTCCCCACCGTGTCGAAACTATGCGCTGCTACCAGTTAAACTGTCAGAATGGAAATACAGATTAGCGAGAATAAATCAATTTCTTTTGGAAAATTAAAAAAAACCCCAACAACCTTGGTTTTGCGAAGGAAGAGAACGAGGTAGCAACAAGTTACCAGTACTTTGAGTGCGATGAAACAAAGGAAAAAATCTGTGGTGAGGTTTGCTGGGGTGTTTTTTACCACGCAGTCAGTCGAAAATGTTCTTAGTGGTGGTGAAGAGCTGTGGAAAAGAGCCCACAGGATCTCTGCAGTAGTACTGTGCAAAAAAAAAGCAAACGGAGGAGTAGTAAGATCAGAAAATACACACGTTTTACAAGGTTGGGAGTAGGTTCTTGTAGATACAAACTGGTGGTGCCTAAAGGATTGTCGGGCAGAAGTAAAGCCCAGTACCCCCCTTCGGCAGCCACGGGGGTTTCGGTGGGAGCACGTGTCTGGCGCGGATTTTGCGCGCAAGTCTGTGCAGGCAGCTCACACCTTTCAGATGGCAGAAACCCGACCTGGGCACCTCGCTTCTGTTACTCTACTTTTGCTAAGAGTTTGTTCCTGCCAGCTGGATTTCACAGGGGTGTGCAGAAAATCTTAAACTCTTCTGGTGCTTTTTTTTGTTCGTGTAACTAGTGCTCAGGATTTGCTCACCAACGTAACTTTGTTCCTGCCGTAACGCTCCGAAGACCTGGTGGCCCTAACAATTCATGAAGCACAGACTAAATAAGTAGATCTGGTTTGGAGCCAAGGCCTTAGAGGTGGTTCTTTGGGAAACGAGCAATATGTGGTGAGGGAGAATATTGGGAATTAATCGTGTGTGGTCAGGATGCTCGGCACGTTGGGCGGTGAGGAATCGGCACAGGGAGCCGTGAAAGCGTTAGGGGAGTTCAGAACCGCGGCCCTTCTGCCGATGGTGCAGCAAAACCCAACGCTTGAGTTTGTGTTTCAGCTTTAGGGAAGGAGCAGGTGGTGGTCAGGGTGGAGTATGTAACGTTTCGGAAGAGTTGGAGGCTGCTCGGCTTTTCCCTCGATTTCGGAAAATTAATTTGGCAAATGAAATCGTGCCCCGTTCTAATTGCAATGAATTAATCCAGAGTGTTTTTGAATTCCCGTGTTCCAAGGGCAAATGTCAGATGGGCTCTCTGATCTTTTCACGTTTTCCCTTGGTACATGACCCTGTGGATAAAATTCCATCGGGCAGGTGGATATAAAAATAAGAGTTCAGTTTGTCTTCAAGGCTTGACATGGTGCCAGTAGGGCAGAGATCTTGCACCATTGTTTAGTTTTCTGGGGCTGCTGGTTGTTAATTGGTTTACATTTTTCAGCTATCAGCTTTAAAAAAAGGGGAAAAAAAACCCCAACAACTTAAATCATTTGACTTAGACATGGTAATTTTGTGAAGATATTAACTGTTCTGCTTTCTCCTCTTCCTCGTCCTGTAATGACAGTGGGTTAAGAGGAAAATTAAGGCTGTTTGTCATTTTTCTTTGCTGTCGTGGCCTCTTTGGTCAGTTTTGCAAGAACTTTCTCTTGAGTTGGCGTAAAGAAGTGATAAGTGGGAAAAACAAAGGAGAATATTGGGCCAGATAAAACATTTCGTAATTCTTCTAAAGGATGAAGATGACGATGATGACTACGTTGAAGAAGGAGGTGATGAGGAGGAAGAAGGTAAGTTGTCAAGTCAAAACCAACTGGTTCTTTGTAGTTCTGTACCTTTGCAAGTTTGGGATGTGCACTTTAATGGCGTAAATCGCTGTTTGGCCAGTCTGTTTCTGAAGGTATGTGAAGTATTTTAGGATTGGTTTTAGCAAGAGCTCAAGCAGGTAGTAAAGTAGCTGTGCAGTATTTAATTTTTTTTTTTTTTCCCCTGTCTGCTCACTTGTGAAATAAAAATCAGGAAGAAATGACAGTTTTCAGAGTCTCCTGTTGAAGCAGTTTTCTCAAATGGAAGATACTGCCTCTCCTACGCAGAAATTTGAGTTTTGCAGTATGGAGAGGACAGGGACGCTCTGGTACACCTTGCAAATATTATTTACAGACATTAAAAATACCTTGTTTAATGCACCAGGGACTGCACTGGCAAAGCCCTGGGAGCAGCAGTAGCAGCTCTGTTTTTCCCTTCATCACGTGGCTTCTCCAGTAAACATTCCTGTTGGAGAGGCAGCTCCCAGGAGGCGAACTCAACCCAGGGTCCTTTTTGGTATTTTTTTTTTTCTAGCTAGACTTTTTATCAATGGCTGTAACTTCTTAATTTCATAAACTACTCTTTTGATGTCAGATGCCTGCGTAATAGTCAAAAGCTTGCAAAAAAACCCAAAGCCAGCGTGTACGGTTCATCCTGCGTCAAGGAGGCACAGCGTACCCAGTGTGGGTCCTTGCAGGCTGATGCTCTTCCTTTGGTATTTTTCAGAACATAAAGTTCTGTTTGAAAGAGTGGGTTACCTGAGTATTTTTTCATAAAATCCCTTCTTCTTTTATCTTTTGAGGTTTTAAAAATGAGCTGCGAGAAGTTAAACAGGACAGACATACCACTTGTTCTTTTTTGCACCTTCTTTGAGGTTTCCAAGCTGTCAGGGTGGGGACCAGCCCTATGTTGGATGCTCCTGCTCTGTCCCAGACTGCTGGAACAGAAGTTACTCTGCAGACTGAGGCTTGTTCTTGGTTCTGGTGCAGATATTGGTGCATCTGATCTGTGGGCGGATGAGGGGCTTAGTTGTCTGCACCTCTGTGTTCCAAGCAGGAAGGTTCAGACACTAAAAACTTCCTCTGTACTCTTCTTGCTACAAGGCTCTTCCAGAAACTTCACTTTTCAAATGGTTTTGGAACTCTGCCCGAATCCTTAAACTGTCCTTACCAGCAAAGTTTTGTGTTGGTCCTGCAGCCCGGTTCCACGTCTGCGTAAACCGTAGACAACTTCTAGAATGTCTCACCAGACTGGTCCCCATCTCATCTGCACACTTGGCTTAGTGGAGCAGGTTTTGGAGTTGCATCTTGCACTTGGGGAAGAAACCCTGAAATTGTGCAGTAGTAATGCCAACTGTTCACTTTTTACAAACGCAGCCTGCGAATCTGTGAAGACAACAAAGCAGGAGGTCAGGACGGCTGATTAGCCAGGAAATGACTGCTGGGAAATACATCTGCTCCAGTTGACAAAATTGCATTTCGTGGTTTCACCACAAGAGCGCACAGTCCACTGACTGGATTGAGCAGATTTCTGAGGACCAGCTCCAAGGGGTTGATGCAAAACGCGTCTGTCGGTGGCGAGGGGACGGAGCGTTCCCCTGGGTGTCTGCAGAAAGCGCTGGGCTTTGGGCAGGGTCTGCACAACTCCCAAAAACCAAAGTTGGGGAGATGTAAAAATGTCGTTTCCATTTCAGTCGTCAAATATATGGTAACAGAAAGTTAAATTCTAAATATTTTTTTTTTTATAAATCTACTTCATCTTGGTAATTCCTGTGTGGAACATCCCATGCTTAGCTTGAACTTAGTTTAATATGACCCGTGTGAATTATTCAGCGTAACGTAAACTGATCTTTTTTTGAGAGCCATCAGCAACACAGAGATGTTACAGGGGTGAATGCATCGGCTACAAATTAATATTTTAATTATTCAATTGATAAAATATTCAATCCAGTTATTTCCATTACCTTTTTTCAAAGCCTGACGTTACATTTCTGATGTCTGAGCAGAACGTAACGAGATGTATCCATGCCTCTTTTCCTTAGCAGAGGGCATTCGAGGGGAGAAGAGGAAACGAGACCCTGAAGATGAAGGCGAAGAGGAGGAAGATTAATTTGTTCTAGACACAAGTAGGACCAGACTCTTAAGTTACCGAATACGCAATAGTGATTATGCAGATCTGTATGTCTCCATGTACCATAGATGTCCCTGCAGAAAATGATACGTTAACTTTTTATAGGAGAAGTGTGGTTTTACTATTCCTGCCCTTTTTATCATTCCAAATAAGATATAATAGCCTGTTAGTGAACCTGTCTGTAGAAAACCAATTTTCAGCCCTATAATCACCGAAGCCATTGTCAAGTTTTTCCCCTTAGACTTTTGTTTGGAGCTCTTTAATTTTATACGAGCTTGCTGCGTCGGTCATCGTTAGCCCAGGGCTAAAACACCCCTTTCACTTGGGTTTAATATTGTGAATTTCCTTCAAGATTTCCAAGGTTTTTATACTTAAAAAGCTGAACTCAAAAATGCTATCTGGCAAATCCCAGTCTCTTTTAAAAGAGACGTTGACTGTAGTCTGAGTTTACGGGGGATTCTGTTTGAAATCAACAACTGGACCACACCTTTCTTTCAGCTTTCAAAGAGGTGACTCCTGTAATATTTTTTTTTTTGAAGTCTTCTATCCCATTTTGTGTGTTACACTGTAAAGCCTAAGTGGGTTTCAGAAGATCTCCTCTTTTTTTTTTTTTTTCCCCTGCTTGTTCGGATGTTCAGTGTTTGCCGGAGCGTTCCGTGGATACCTTCAAGAACGCGTCTCGGCAAACCGAAAGGGTTGTAATCCTTAAATTTTCTCCAGAATTACATGGTCATTGCAAGGATTAACGCACGCCAATAATCTAGTTTGAAACCATTCCGCTAGAAATCTGTGTTAAACTTCCAGTCGCTTCGCTCTCGCGTCGCCGTTTCGGGAATTCTGCCGCAATCGTGGCGTTTGGCTATAAAATATGTGCATTTCTGATGCAGAAGTTAACGGGTAGCTCCTTCAAGCACATTTTTTTTTTTTTTTTCCAACAACCCCCTCCCACACACTTTTATAGAATCATTGAAGGGGGAAAGAGGAACATAAGTCAGTCTTTCTTCGCAGGTCACCTTTTAAACTTTTTAAATCTGGTTGTAGGCGAAACATTCACGTTCCTGTATAATACTAGTTAGTAGTTCAGGGTTTTTTATATCAAATGGCTGCAGAAACTTGTTCCGTTGCGTACGGTTGGTGGCAAGTACGGGAGACATGCAGACAAACTTTTTTTTTTTCCCTAGCAGCCTGATTGTGACCAACAGGTCTTAATAATTCTGCCCCGACGGATTCATGTTTTCTATTTGAGCCGCTGCGAAACCAGTTGGACCATACAGCATTCCTCTTTCAGTCACCATTTGGATTTAAACCAGTAGTCTTGATATAAAACGTAATTAAATTGTTTCACGTAGGTACTGAACCAAATATCACACACAGCTTTATTCAAGAGACTTATTTTTATATCTGTCTTGGCTGACAATAGCTGCCACTAAACTGGGGGAGACACCGAGGGTGGGGAAGAGGGAGATTTCCTGGACCTGAGTAAGAGTCGGTCACCCGTAGATCGGTTACCTGTGAATATTTAATAGGAATATCACACACTATCAGACTTTAAACGTGACTTCCAACTCTTAAATCGAGTTTAGATACTGCAGGGTTGAAGTTCTGCAAAGCCCAATTTCTTGTGTGCGTGGTGGTTTTGGTTTTTTTTGGTTTTTGTTTTTTTTTTTCCCCCCTCAAATAGAGCCTTAAATCATAGTTTCTCACGTAGCTGTAAAGCGTGGCCGGCCGCTAAAGGCGGCGGAACGAAACGAGTCAGGCAGATGGCAATATACTGGGAAATGAACTGACTAAACGGGGTTTGTGGTTTTTTTTTTTTTAATGAATCTCTGTAAAGACACTAGAAAAGTAGTGGTAAAACTACATTTGCAACCACGATCCGAGTTCCTGTGTTTGTGTAGGAAACCTTAGGTAAGTGCACATCCTATCTTGTCGCGGAGGCTCTGTGTTCACGGCAGTCGCTTCGTGCTCAGCTTTGAGATAGAAAAGTGTGGTTTCCCCATCTTTTTGCTCGTTTCTTTTTAGTCTCCACGAATGATTGAAAACTTTTATTATTTATAATTTATAAACCTTGTCAGGGTTTTCCTTAACTGTCTTTTACTGGTGCATGTAAAATTAAGTTCTAAACGGAAGAAAATTTCTCTTTGGATGGGTTTAAAATTATTTGAGTACCGGTCTTGTCTCAGTAAGCGAGTCCAATTTTGACACCGGCTGAGCTAATCGGACAAAACAGTTTGTTCTAAACTCCGAAGGGGTTGGCAGATCTTCCCTAAGACAGGCAGACTTACCGCTTCCTAAAACCAACTCGCAGTGTCGTGCATCAGCTGCTGCATCTAAAAATCTGAGCCTCACACAGATCTTAACTTCCTGAGTAACTTTGTCTTTTCCTCAGTGTTACCATCTAAGTATAGTTTCATATTTGTCAGCTTGGCATGCAACTAAACAGCGTAGCATTTTTTAAAATAAGTAATACAGAGCCTCCAGATAACTTTTGAAACTTTTTTGCTTGGTGGGTGGTCTTTTCATGCAAATATGTAAGGGTGGGTTTTATATTTTGTAGAGGTTTTTGTCCTATTTTAATGCTCTTTGTATGGCAGTATGTATATAGTGTGTTTCGGTTCCTTATCAAACTCTTTCCTTAAACTTTGGAGTAACTGATTTTGTGCAACTGTGTTTTGAATAAAGCCATGACAGTGTTAAATTAAAGAAAACAACCCTGCAGCACTCTTCTGATAATTTTTAGTTGTAACAAAACATGTTTCCTCCCCACGTGTGCTGTAAATTTTAAATTAAAAAGTTTTCAAACCGAATTATTTCAAATAAATCGAGACTATTGTATTGGATTACTTCTTTTAGTATGTGCAGCTGTGGAGAATGTGGTATTTTTTTCAGGAACAGAGTAAGAGGTGATTGTTCTTTCCCATTATCTTTCTGGTTTTGGGTAAACCTGCAGAATTGTGCATCTTTCTGGGGCTAGAACTTGGACTTTTGATACTCTAGTTCTTGGTAACATGGTCACAGTCGAGGAAGATGCTGTGGAAAACCTGAAGCAATGTCTGGATATTTCCCTTAGAGTGTTTCCAGATGAGCTGAATGTAGAAAAGAGTTTTGGAGCTGATGCGGCTTTTGCATACTGAATAAATCAATACCATTTGAGTGTAGCTGAGCTATGCAAGTCTGGCTGAGCCTTAAGAAACAAAAATGAAAATCAAGAGCCGGGTTATATTTTTGTAAATGCTGACTTGGTGTGCCCGACAGCCCGAGCTGCAAGTCTAAAGCCTTGGTCAGTGTGGGTTACTCCTCTTTCAAGAACAATGTTTAAAAAAAGGTGCTTCTACACAGCTAGACATAGCATTGTTTTTATTTTGGGCTTAATCGAGCGTTCTTGGCAAAAATCCTCGGGATGCACTTGAGAAAGCTTGTAACTAAACAGGCTTTTCTTCTACTGGATGAGTGATTAGCCAAGAAATGGGTGGTGGTTTTCTGGTTTGTGGTTTTTTTTTTTTAAGTGTGGGGAGGAATTGCCTTTCCATCTAAAGCCCTGTATTGGCCACTCACTCACTATTTGCCCACTGGAATGAGACCAAATGGGGAACCTGAACTTTGAGATTGTTTTTAACAGAAGTTTAGTCTACTTTTTGGGGATACTGCTGCTTTTATTTAAATTAAACCCAAGCTGTTCCAGTCTGGCACCTGCATGGCAAAGGAGACGAGAGGAAACGTCGGTGCTGTGTAGGCATGCCTTGAAAAATCAGGAAAAACTGGAGGTGTGGGCTGT